TATCAAACACATAAGCATGCGAAATCCACAATACATCAATAGAGTTTCAGCGTTCAAGATAAGTTTATTCATAATAGATTAATGTGAATGAATATGACTATATATGAATGTGAGTGTCATCAGGAGATAGTAGAGAAAAGAGAAAGAACCTTGTTCATGGTGTTTTTGAAACAAGTCTTGTGTTCATCCATTGAGGCATGAATGAATTCATCCATGTGATCCTTGAGGTTTGCAAAGAAAGTGGCATTATCATCCTTGACCCTCTTCCTACATGATGATAAAGGCTCTTCCGGTTTTGGCGGGTTCTCGGTTTCAATTTTCTGGGTATCCACGGTTTGATTTGCCTGAGTATCCACCACGGTTTGATTTTCCTGGGAAGCCATTTGTTCCTGTTCCAACATCAGAAAGAAATCTCATGAATACAAATGATCCAATTAGTTATGTTAATCCAACAATCGAAACCAAGTCTCAAGAACCCTAAAGTCTCAAAAACATAACTTAAACAAATTCACCCAACATCTAACCAAAACCATTCGGATTCTCAACAACCAAAATCATCAGATCAATCATTAGCAAGAAACACTCTGTGATGCTAAATCGAAGCAAAAACAAAACACTAAGATAAACAATTTCACAACGATTCATATAAACAAGATACCCACCAAGTGTTCGACAAAATTCCTGAGAGAGATTCAAACAAAAACTAACGAATTTCTCAAAATTTGCAGCGACGATTCAGTAAATTCGTAAACAGAACTCGCGAGCATCACTATCGATCACAAGTAATTCATAAGCATGAAATCAATGAAGAGATTCGAAGCTAGAAAGTACCTGAATCTTTTGTTTCTCTTCTTCTTTTTTTTTGCTTTCTCTGCAAGTTCCTTCTCTTTTTCTGTTTTTCTTTCTCTGCAAGCACAAAGACGACGTGTATATATATATACAGTTCTAGGTTATAATCAGGTGCGACTAGATCACGGTAGATATCCTTGGAGAGCAAGTTACTAAACGCTGCGTTTTAAGAAGATCTTATTTAGCTGTTTCTTCAAATTTGACCCCTTGGTTTTTAATTGTGTACAAGGGACCCCTTGTATTATTGGATGTACATTCTTCTAAATTAAGTTTGGACCCCTTAACTTTAATGAATCTTCAATTTTTGTTTATACAAATATTTTAGAGATGAATGATACGAAGTATGGGTTTTGTTGCTTTTCCTTTTTACGTTAGGTTGTTTTGGTGATTTTCCATTTTGAAATTAAGATCAAGTTTTTTGGTGTTTTCCATTTTTTTAAGGTCTCTTATGTTTAATGTAAAAAAGGAATCTTGCCTAAATCTTTTTGTCACTTTCTCACGTAAACATATATCAGTGAACAATGAGTCGTCTAAGATGATCAAGAAACACAGACAAGCTAACATCATCTGTGACAACATTACTCTCCCCGGAAAGATGAGCTTCGCCATCAGAAGGATTCAGTTTTGCTAGAAGAAAACGAGCCTGCCAAAAATACACAGCAAGAGAAACAACCAAAGCAACAATAATAAGCATCCAAATGGAACCTCTAGCTTGGAATTTTTACTAATTCTGCTCGGAAAATGGAGGCATGAGCAAAGGAGAGGTACCTGTGAACCATACTGATCGCATATGACAAGACGCGGAGTGGGAAACCGTTCATTGATGATTGTGTCTGCGTAGTTACGAGGTGATTGCAACAGATGCTCAAATGCCTGGCACAAAGAAGACAAGTTTTTATGAAGATCAGACTCTAGAAGACAACTTTTATCATCTCTTTTAAGATGATGGCGATAATACCTGGTGTTCAGGTTGATTATGGTATCCAGCTTTTCGCCATTGGGCGATGGTAGAACCATGAAATATTACAAGAGTGAAGTATGAATCCAACACTAGGATTCTGTCAGCTGCAATGGATGCTACATCAAGAAGAATTGGTTCTGGCGGTGAATGGAATGAGAAAGAAATCAGTGAAGGTTGAATCATCACGATTGAATTCGAAACGTTCTCTCTGTACAATATCATTCGAAAATATGCTGTCTCGTCTGGGCTGTTGTTAAAGACCTACAAAGGGGAAAAGCCAAATGAGCTCAAAAAGATAAAATTGAGCGTTAAAAGTAATTTCAGTCTCTCATGTATTTATGGGCAGTGAGAAGAGAGTACCTGGACAAACTGAGATCGGCGCAAGTGAAACACAAACTGCGGGAAAATCGATAACTGAGAAGACAAGCTAAAGGAAGAAGGATTGCCTTTCTGGTAATCTCCAAACCAGGTGCATATATTTATCAAAGCTTTATCGACCCACCTTTGCGGATTAAACTCAGGCTGTAAAAGAACAAATAAGAAACCTAAGAAACACTTAAAACATGATATCCTCTAGCAGCTATTCAGCTTAAGGAATCTATCTCTAGCTCTCATCATCGAGTACCTGAGTCTCCATTTTGAAAGAAATAAGCCGTGCCATTACTACAGCAGCTGCTTCTTGGTCAAAACCATTGCTCAACTCCTATACTTCACAACGCAATTTCCAAGGAATAGTTAGAGACCATAGTTATATGCAGAGAAAACAGGATTAGTCTAGCCATGTACAAAACCAATGAACAATTCTCAAACCTGGCTTAGAATCACCACTTAGAATGGATTACAAAGAACATAAGATGAAATAAGCCATAAATTTTCCATAATATAACTGGTGTGGCAACTCGTTTCTCATATATATTACACCACCAATCATACTGAAGTGGTAATATAAATGCTGTCCTCTAAACGTTAGAAGAATCTCTTCCAAATGACTCCCTATTTAAGACAGTAGATTCACATACTACTCAAAACTTGCCTGTAAGCTTTCAGTTCCCATTACCCATCTTCTTGAAAGAGTTGTTACCCGGAGTCTTGTTTGACCATTTGAGTGCTGATAGCTGTAAGCAGAAAGCGTGTCATATTACATCCATAACTTGCAATAATAACTTAAGATGGAAAACTTGAAATCCCTTACTATGTTAAAAATTGAAAGTAAAACTGATTGCTCTGCGACTGCAAAACAACATCAGCTGTATCCCTTTTAGCAATTTCAAAAACCAAACATATTGAAGTGTTTTGGTCAAGGCCACACATCTTCCATGCGCTTGTGTGTCCCTGACCGACAGCAGTGTCAGAGCACAACGGTCCTTTCTGCAAACAATCATCAGAAAGTGATCACAACAAGCTCAAGGAAAAATAGATACCTTAACAGTTTTATATGATACCTTTTCGAGAGATGCGCAAGGGCCAATAATTCCCTGAACTTTGATATCCTTTGAGCAGTTAATTTCAAATATACCACTGTAAGAGAGAAACAAATCATAAGAAACAACTCGCTGAAGCTAAACATAGCAGACAAAAGATTGTTCATTTTCGATAAAGAAAACATACATGAAAGTTAGGTAGGCCATTACCATGAGGACAAGCCTAGATCATTTTCACCTGACTGACACACGCGTTTGAGAGAATCCCTAAATACTGAGTGGCCAAAACTTTCAGCAAGCACAACAAATCCACCAGTCTGCTCAACTGCAACTTTGAGCTCAGCAATGCCTACCTAGAGATGCACATAATAAATAAAAACGGTAGCTATAAAACAAGAAAAACAGTACTAAAAATTTTCTCCATACAATCACCTGATCAACAGAACTTGCGAAAACATCAAGAACATGACCTTGATGAACAAGTTGTTTCGCAAGCATCTCATAGAACTCGACAGCTTTGTGGTAATACGTAGCAGAATCTTTATCAATGTCCTTATGAGAACGAATTGGATCCGAAAGCTCCCGGGAAACAATCTAGAAAAAGGCAATAAAAGAGCATCAGCTAACACCGAGTTTCTACCAACGGATATGATTAACAAGAGAAAAGACTTACAGCTCCAGGGCCTTCAGTGGAAGGTCCACCAATAAAAGCCATGATTCTAGCAGCAGAGCCAGGAAAGCAAGCTCCTAAGAGACCAGCAGCGATTCGAAGGGCAACACCAGTGCATCTCGCAGGGCGATGATCAGCTGCAACGGGCCAGGGATTGTTTCCCAGCTCCTCAAGAACCTAAACCAGGAAACAAAACAGAAGTTAACTAGTGAACACAATGTTGAATATATAAAGAGAAGATAAGTTAAAGGCAATGAATTTACGAACAGAGTGAAGAGTAAACTGGCAATCGGAGGCCGGTAACAGAAACCGTGCAATGTCGTCGGAAGAGAGACCATCTCTAGCACCAGCAATGACACCTGAAGAAGGTTTAGGATTCTTGACGAAGAAACTCAGCTGATCCAAAAGCTGATCTTTAGTACAGTCTTTGTTTCCATGGAAGAAGTAAGATTTGGTACAGTGTGGGAATCCAAGCTCGTAAACACGAACTAAGGAATCAAAGGTAATGAGACCAACGATGGAGGTATCAGGAAGAAGATCCAAAGCTTGGAAGAGAGATGATTTGAGGAAATCAAGTTCTTCAGAGATCAAACAAGTATCAACGACGAAGAGGAAAACAGGAGGAGAAGGAGAAGAGAAGGAATCACAGAGATACTCAACAGTTGTGGAATGAGGAAAAAGCTCCGGCGGGAGATTGTTATCAGCGATTGAAGAGTAATTACGCGGGAAAGGATTCCGATTGAAGCAGAAAGGACAACCCCAAATACAGGCGGAGAAATCGACGACGGAGTAAGGGTTTAGAACGGAGCGACAAGTCCGGCAACGGAGAGGAGAGTAAGGAAGGAGAAGAGAATGATCGGCGAGAGGTTTCAGAGGTGTGTAAATGGCGGAAACTGGAATTTCGGAGTCGATTGATTGTTCTTTCTTCGTTGCGACGGGGATGATGTTCCATGGCATTCTAACTCCATCTTGAGCTTCGAGCTCTCCAAACTCCGCCATGGTTGACTAATCTCTCTACTAACCAACAAATCTGTTAACTTTCTATGTTTCACAAAGACGCACACCAAGTGTTCGATCAAATGCGTCAAAGAAATAGTTTCTGCTATAGATTTGTTTACTGAAAAGTCTGAAGCACAACACACCATTGCATACAATAATTTCATTCCTGATCTTGAGCAAAGGTTTTATACAGAAATTTGAAACTACAAAACCCAAATCAAAACACATACACACACAAAGAGACGAAGAAGAAGCAATCAAGTTTTTTTTAGGAACATACAGAAACAAAGACTGCAACAATAGCGAAATAAAGATGAAAAACAAAACAGTCTTCGTGGAAATAGTTGAACTTTTCTTCAGGGTTTTGGATCTTCTGAACGTGCCCAGTCCACAATCGACTCGTCTCCAGCTTCTGCATTAGAACACAAGGTTTCTTAGTTATACAAACAAACTGCAAAAATGACTCGGGTTTTACGATGATTGATTGATATAGTAATGTACCTTTTCCAGGAACGATTATGACGGGAGCGGATTTGCAATTGTGGAAACAATACTCGCTTACGCTCCCCTGTAGCACGCTGCAGAAGAATCCAAAAGAGAATCATCGACTCAAGAAAGCCAAAGAAAGAAAAACAAAGCTCACAACTAGTGGTTGTTCTTGTATATCTAACTAACCTTCTTACTAAGCTCCTGCCTCGTGTGCCCAAAATTACAGCAGCAGGCTTCACTTTCTCTGCTTCCTTGCAGATTACTTTACCAGCATCGCCTTCAACAACACGAGCCACACTCTTTACCTAAACATAACAACTCAGTATCAAGTTAATTCCTTGAATCTAAAAAGTGTGTACCAAACTCAGGTTTCTGAGTATTCTCATATAAAATCATCACAATATTGAATTCAAAGAATACACCAGAGGTTTTGTATTAACGCGGTTGATAGCAATAGCAACAAATGAATAGACTAGAAGAGTGTTTCAAGAGACAAAACTAAGCTACACATCGACATACGATTTCTACCATTTCAATTCTTAGCTCCAAACTTTACATATTGTTTCAGTAGCCACCCTAATTCATTGTTTTTTAATTCTCAGACCCTAACTCAAACAATCAAGAAACAGTAAAAGACCAAAAACTTAATAAACAGTTTCTTCTACAAAACATTACCAGACAAAAAAAAAGAGATAACATAAGGCACCATGGCAACTTTGAAACACCTCGACAGCGAGTTTCTTCATCAACACTTGGCTAGTCTCATACACAACAACGATTTTTGCAAATGCATAGACTAGAACTAGTAGTGTTTGATTCAAGAGAAGAAACTAAGCAACGATTTCGATTCTAAAAACTAGTGGTTGCTAGCAAATGCAACTAATAAATAGACTAGAACTATTGTTTCTATATCCACCTGAGTGTATTGGATTCTCAGACCCTAACTTAGCAATCAAGAAACATCATTATTAGGCAAACCAAAAAAGAGATAACATAAGGTAGTAAACCCTAACCATGGCAACTTGATACGCCTCAATAGCTAGTTTCTCCATGAGCGCTTGGCTTGTCTCATACACAACATCGTTCTTAACACCTATGAAGAAAATCAAAAACCAGACTTAGAATCTCCGATTGACTTCAGATCTGGAAATTGAAATGAACACAGAACACGAAATCAAACTATTTACTATTCACATTGAAGAGAGAACGAACTTGAGACGGCGTGGACAAGGTGAAGAGTATCGGCGAGACGACAGAAGTGAACGAGAGCCCAATCAAAGGCGTGTTTGCTATTGGGACCATGATCAACGGCTACGATTACATCTCTTCCTCTTCTTCTCTCTCCGCTCTCTCTCTCAAGTTCAGGTTCCTGCACTACCGGAATCAACGACGGCAATACCACTTCCCTGAAACTGTACTCTTCATCCTCCGGTAAAGCCTCCATCTCTGACCAAAAAGGAACAAACTTTCAACGGATTTCGAGATTTCGATTAATGGGTTTCGTTGGGTCTTCGATTTCGGTTTCTGGGTCTTCACGGGTTCAATGAATCGAGGTGATTGGTTTTGGATTTGAAAGAAAGTTGCGTGTAGATATTTTGGAGTCGTTTGGTTGCTTTTTGACGCATCATGGAAAAATTTCATGTGAGCCCACAATTTTCTGTCGGCGGCTTTCCAGAAGAAAATAATAATTGACACTATTTCATTTTGGATAAAATAAGACACACTAAACAAAAATTGTTTTTTATTCGGATTAGACCCAAAAAAATATCATCATTCGCTATGATACGAGTTACGAGTACTGTTTGATTCGGAGAGATCGCATTGTTTGATGACACCGCCATCTCGTCGTCGTCACCGTCGCAGCGGAGGAAGAGAGTAGCAGCGGCCAGTCTATCAACCCTAATTTCTTTGAGCTTGGGTTTTAATTTAATTTGGGCTTAACTCTGTTATGGCCCATTATTTTACTCGTTTGTAACTGTAAAGTTTTGTTTATTAAAAGCCCATTATCTTGATTTTGGTCTAATTCGGTTCGAATTAACCGAATTAGAACAAATTTCGGTTTAATTCGGACTTGATTTTAAAACCTATAAACCGAACCGAACAAACCGAGTACCGAACGGAACAGAACCGAATTTTTATTCGGTTTAATTTGGCAGAAATTTTGAAAACCGAAAAAACCGAACCGAACAAACCAGTAAAACCGAATACCCAGGGCTAATATTAAATTAAATACATACATATTTTTGTTTCTTACGTTCAAACATACATAAGTACGCATTAGAGCATCTCCAATAGTGAGAACCCTTCATGGGCTCTCACCATTTTTTTAAGAATAAAATTTTCAAATTTATGAGATGAGAGTTTTTGTTAAAAAAAATTAATTTTGCAAAGTCCAATGGTAGGCTCTCTTTGTGAGGTTCTCAGGAAAAAATTAAATTATTTTTTAAATTATTTTATTTCATAAAACTGAAAAATATTACAATTCATAACATATTAAACATACAATAATTTCATGGTATGCAAAATAATTGTGGTGTCTGTAGAATAATACAAAACAAGTACCAAAAGAACAAAATGAATACAAATACCAATCATCTCCCCTGAATCAAAGAAAACATCAATTAAAATGGAAGCTTAAGATTGATTGAAGATTCTTGTTCCACCCTAAACCTTTGTCTCTAGCTAGCCCCGTTGGTGAAGATCGAAAGCAAATAAATTCCCAATCCATAACTAGCTAGTCACTTCCAGGTTGTGGAAAGCTGTTTCTGATTTGCAGTAGTACATATAACTAGATTTCTTGATGCATTGGTACTAAAAAGATGCAATTCTTTTGGATTTAATATAGCAGTAAATCAAAGATTCAATGTCATAACAATGGATAATATTTCCTTTTCATGGTTCGTAGCAATTTTTGTTAGTGTGATACATAAAATACAACAAGCTATTATAGGATTCAGTTGAATCCCATGCAAAACCATCAAGGGTCTTGTATGAGTGTTTACAGATTGTGTGTTATGGCATGCTGCTCCAAGTATTCTTTGCTGTTCATTTCTGTTAATCTACACAACAAACAAATTCGCCTGAAGAGTAAAATCCAATGAAACTAGTAGATTTAGTTGTTAATCACAGAGACTGTTGTTACATTACCTGCTGATGGTTCTGTCTTCATAAACCAAATAAATCACAGAGACTGTTGTTACATATCCTAAACGACAACACCACTGCCTTTCTCCTCTTGGCTTCTCCACTTGCAGTTCTCCATTTACACTCAACAAAAACAGAGAGAAATAAAGCACATTAGCATAAACATTTCACTGTTTGGAACAATGGTAAATACTTGTGAATCACTGGTTTTACCTTCTCCTTTTCACTGTTTTACAAAACTCACACATCTTCTTCACAGATGATCTCACCTTCATGGTTCCTCACTCTGCAATTTCGCAACCATCATTAAAAAAAAGAGTGCAGCACCAAAAGTCAATAGATGAAAATGAAAGAGAACTCTTCAAAGTATTCAACTTTGAGATTCAGAACTCAAGATTTTATTCCCTACACATCTCATTTCTACTAAACTACTCAAAATTGCAATCCTTGGTTAATCTGATGATGGAAGCAAAAGTAAAACGAATCTGAAGTCTCTAACTACACCGAATCACACAAGAGCAATAACACCTTTGCCTTTTATTGTAATTCCACTAAGCTTCGTGAACTCAATCCACCACATTAACTTCACTTGTTGATATAAACTTAACAAGAAATTTTAGAAACTAACAAAATGGATTCCTAAATTGAACTCACCATTGACAACTATGGTTCACAATTTCCAAATTGTTTTAAGAAATCACGAATACATGGGTTTGTAGTGTAAGCTAGAGCCAAAACACACATGCAAACAGTGATATCACCAAAAGATAAACTTGATACATTACATCACCAAAAGCTAAACACAAAGAATCATGGATTTTGGATTTCGATTTCCACAAAAACAGAGAAATCGAACCCGAGATTGAAGAAATAACTAAGTGCAAACGAGATTGTATTAAGAAACATAACAAATCATGGATTTTAGATTTCAATTTATAGGGTTTGAACGGAGATTTACCTTCCAAACGAGGAGCTAAGCGAATGATTCTAGCGATACACACACAACATCCTCCATTTTCGTCTCAATCTTCCTCTCTTCTGCAACAGATTAGAAACAAAAACTCTAAAAGAAAAAAAAAACGTGAAAGAGAGAGAGAGTCGCAGGAAAAAGAGAGAAACAAACTCAAAAATAAAAGGGTTATTTTGAAAACTACCCTGTTTTTAAGTTATCCTTTGAAAAATACCTTTTTTTTGATGAAAATTACAATCTTTTATATATAAAATGACAATTTGGTATTAATTTAAATTTAAAGCTAAATTTTTAATAAATAAACTAAATTCAAAATTTAGGGAAAGAAAAAAATACTAAATTCAAGATAATTTTAATTAAAGTTATATATATATATATATTAACACTAATATGGTTTATCAATTTTATATATTAAAATTTAACAAGATAATATCTAAAAATGATATAAAATCTATCACTTAATATTTGTCATGTTATATAAAGTAAAATAATCTCCAATACTCCAAATACATTTTTCAACTCAACATTTCACAAAACTTTGCTTCAATTCAATGATTTTCTTGAATTTTTTTGTTATTCTTTATTGTTTTAAAAAATAACACATGACATAACAAAAATCATGACTTAAAATCGGTAGAATGTTGTTATGCATTATTTTTTTAAAATATATTTATGATAGTAAATTTTCGGAACTGTTAGTTATATAAAAACTTTGTAAAAATTAAATATTTCATTCTTATCAATAAATTAATTTTCTATTTAAAATATAGATATTTTGATTAATTGTTATTAAGTTTAAGTAAATTTTAGTAATTTTACATATTTAAGTTAGTTTTTAAAAGAAAATTATTTTTCAAAAGTGTAAACAAAAAAAGGGTATTTTTCCAAATTTACTCAAAATAAAATCCCCTGTCATAATAAAACGCCAACTCATCACTAAGCGACACGGGTGCAGTTCTCTCACATTCCCAAATCTCTCTTAAGAGAAACGACTCTCACAATAATTAGCTGTTTTTATTTATTTTTAATTATTAAAATCAAGAGAACCCAACAAAATAATCACATAAACCTCCCATTGGAGATGCTCTTATAGATCTCTTTTTGATCGCTAATACTAATGCAGGAAGCATGCAAGCCGCCAACCTAACACGTAAAGTATATCTAAAGTATTATTTAGTTACTTATTTAAAAAACAAAAATTGGTAAGCAAGGACATATTAACGACGTAACTTATAGTTTAATGTTTGAATTCAATTACCAAACATAATCTACATAACATATTTGTAGATAAATTGACGTATTGATGATTAAAACTTTTCTAGTGAACCAAATACATGTAACTATGTGGTTTATTCAAATGGATTGAATATTGTTTTATGTGTCAAAGGCTATATGGTCATTGTAGACGTTGTAAATAACAATAAAATCCGGTTTATACAAGTTTTGGAGAGTATAGTGTATATAGAATTTGTGGCTTAGAGTTTAAAGTTTGAATCTAATATATAAAAATCTCTTGTCAACGAAATGCAATCTTTCAACTTCGATCATAAGAATTCGGCCGCTGGCCAATCCAACCACGTCATCTAGATTTTTAATCAACCCATTTGATATATATATATATTAGATAAGGCCTATCTAAATAGGCGGGTGTAAGACATAAATATAAATTTTTAATGATAGTATTTGAATTTTGCAATACAGTTTAATTATCTATTTCATCATATTAAATTCGATTATAATTCTACACACTTCATCTTAAGTGATAACAATTTTATATCAAAATAATATTTATATCATATCAAATCTATATCTTAGTTAATATTAAAATAATTAACAATTAACAAAATATAATTAATAAAAAAACAGAAATCCACAAAAATATTTGAAAAACAAACATTATTTAAAATATATATTTTTTATATATATGGCGTAATCTCGTAAGTTAATTTTACAAACTAATTTTAAATGAGTTGAAATTAAAAAATAAAAATATATTAACTTCTCATTAAGTAATTGAAAAGTCAATCCTATAAGCTATTTTTTCCAAAAAATTTGTGTTTTCACTTATGACTACATACGTTGAAATTCTTAGAATAAAACATAAGTATAAGCTAGCGGTAACACATCAAAGGATGCAAGCCCCTCAATCATAGGATGCGTTAAAATTCTTAGAATAAAACATAAGTATTCAAAAATTTATTCTCATAAGCTCATTAATTTGTTTTTAATTTTTTTATATTTTAATATAACGAATGAAAACACTATATTACAATGATACATACAATTTTATCCAATTAAATCAATGTTAAATAAATTATATTGTTATCTTAAACTTCAATGGCCATTTTAATTAGTTATTATCCAAACTAAATGTTTTTAAAAAAATTAATATGTCCTAAATTTAATTGACCAATAACACATGTAAAAACAAATTTGTTAATTTTCCTTTTGGTTAAGAAAAATAATTTTTTTTATAGATACAGACATATAAATTAGTATATACAAATTTGTTTCCTTTTTAGTTTTTCTATTTCTTTAAAGGAAAAGAAAAGTTAACTCTTTTCTAACACATGTCAACATCTGATCAATAGACTTGACACGTGGCACAATCTTATAAGTTACTAACTTTGAAAACCATACTTTATATAATAAGATAAGATATATAATCTCCTTTATGTGCAAACCAAACTTTTCAAAATTCTAATTCTTAGACTCTTTCTATTTTGTATTTGTTTTTTTTGTCATCTGCACAATCGCCAAGACGTGAAACCTCACATGGGTTATGCCAAGATGGGTCTTTATAAAACAAAGTCCAAACGTTCAATTGCTAACTATTATCATATCATACTCATCAATATTTTCATTCTCTCTTCAATCACATTTTCATCCATGGCTTCTTCTAATTCTTCTTCGTCTTCCATTGATTTTTCTACTGCAATTCTAATAAGGGTTGATCAATCGGGCAAAGGAGACTTCAGTAAGATTCAAGAAGCAATAGAATCTATCCCTCCCAATCTAAACAACTCTCAACTCTATTACATTTGGGTTAAGCCTGGAATTTACCGGTAGGATTATATTTAAGTCTTAAGGGTTAGGGTTTAAGATTGATGGTTAAGGGTTTAGTATCTAGACCCAAAGGTTTAAGTATTTAGATTATTTATAAACATACAAAAAACTTAGACTATCTCTTAATTTTTATGTAAAAGATTAAGCTATCAACAATCCTTCCGAAGTTATATATAGGTTTTGTTGATAGGGTTGTCCTTTTTTCAGCTGGTTATTCGGTATTAGGCTTCGACGTAGAATTATATTTGTATATTCATTTTTGCAAAATATATATTATCCATGAAAAGTTAATTCTATGCTTGATTAGATTCCATGTTTAAGTATTGTTTTATTAATGTTATTTAGCGATTTGATTGAAAACAGAGAAAAGGTGGTGATTCCTGCGGATAAACCCTACATAACATTGAGTGGAACACAAGCTTCCAACACCTTTCTCATATGGACAGTGCCGGCTTGAGCTTTTGATAGACCCCGGGGCAAATTGACAAAAACAAAAACAGAGTCCTATTATATAAAAAAAAAAAGCGTTTACACAAATAAAAAACAAAAAAACAACGTTCACATAAACAAAGCAACAAATGTAAAAACAACCACAATCACAAAACAAATTTCATTGTGCGCTCATTTTCTAGTGTTTCTTATAACTTTGTGCTCTCCTCTGTTTCTAGTTAGCCTTGACGTCTTGTAAGATTCTTGTAGCTTTTCCATCTCCATGAATATAGACCTTTACATCCTTTTGAACCTGAAAATAAAACAAAAACCAGTAGTCATTCCCAAAAGATATAAACGATCACTCGATACGATTTTTTCGAGCTTTAGTCGACGCAAAATCATGAATAATAGTTTCAGAATCAATGCTCTCCAATATATTCTTTTCGATGCACAAAATAGCTAAACCATTCAACCTTTCTTGAGACATAGAAGATCTTAGATAATTTTTCAACAACTTTAATTTAGAAAAGCTTCTCTCCGCCGAAGCCACTGTCACCGGTATAGTTAACATGATTCGATATGCAATTGAAACATTTGGATAACAACCAATATCTTCAACAAACTCAAGAATTGCATTAGGTTCCATAGACACATCAGGTAAAGTCGTTTGAAGCATTCTCAATTCCGAGAAAAGATCATCTGAATCCACATCCGATGAATTACCATGAGAAAAGGTTTTGCAAAAGTTATTGCAATGCTCTTGTAAATCAGTATCATGTAATGCTTTTAAATCTTTCGAATCAAATAAGAAACCAAAAACACTTTCAAAAGTTTGCATTTGATCAAATCTGGTTTTCACAGAAGATATTGCCATGTCCACCACAACCAAAAAATAATTTACTCTAAAAGCATCCTCACTTGATTGAACTTCTTCATCAAAATCAGATTCATCAAACTGTTTCTTTCTAAACACACGGCGCTTACGTGGAAATATAGGATCTATATCCATATCACGAGCAATAAACCTTGTTCACATGTTTTGAGTAAACCAACCAATCTCTATCACTAGTTTCCCCATTACGCAACTTCCTCGAATAATAACTATACGAGAAATGCCTACTGTTTTCATCTAAAGGAAACACAAGATTCATTTCTCTTTGAGGCCCTTTTTTAACTAACACATCTCTCATTTTATTATCAAGGTTTTCCCAATACTTAGGATCAAACTTATCAACAAGAGAACTTGGGTTTTCACAAACATTCAAACTTTCAACATTAGATGCATTAACCACATTATCATGCTCACAAACATTTGACCTTTCAACATTAGATGCATTAACCACATTATCATGCTCACTCAAGTGACTAACGTCATCATCAAAATGATTATTTGAAAAAAACGGCATGTTTTGTTTTGTTGTAAGTAGAATAAGTTTGGAAGGGAGGGACGGGCAGTTGCACTGCGGGTGGCAGCGGATAAGGCAGCGTTCTATGGATGCGTGATAACATCGTACCAAGACACTCTCCTTGACGACACTGGAAACCATTACTTCAAGAACTGTTATATTGAAGGAGCCACCGATTTCATTTGTGGAAGCGCTTCTTCTCTCTATGAAGTAAATACTAACTCATTTTGCATAATCAAATTAACATGTTCCATTTATAGATAGAGTTAACTTTCTCATCTTTAAACTATAGTTTAACCTTAATTTTCTTTTTTCGTGGTTTCATTTTGTAGAGATGTCATCTACACTCGTTGTCACCGAATAAAGGGTCTATAACGGCGCAAATGAGAACGTCGGCGACGGAGAAATCAGGGTTTATATTCTTGGGATGCAAGTTAACCGGATCCAGTTCCACGTATTTGGGTAGACCATGGGGAGCTTATTCTAGGGTTGTCTTTGCTTATTCCTTTTTCTCCAATGTCGTCGCACCTCGAGGATGGAACCAATGGGGAGATTCAGCCAAAGAAAAGTATATATATTTTTATATCTTTAGGTGTATAGTTAATGTTCTTATGAATATTGTTGACTAATGATCATGTAATACTAATTTTGTGTTCAGTACTGTATATTATGGTGAATACAAATGTTATGGTCCCGGAGCAGAAAGGGGACAAAGGGTCAAATGGTCAAAACAATTATCCGACGATGAAGCTACCGTCTTCTTGAGCAAGGACTTTATCGGCGGCAAAGACTGGCTCCGACCTGCCCCTTCTCACTTCAAAAAATGGTCCCAAATAAACCCGAAAATATATAAATAAATTAATAATTCCATTAATTAATATTTTTTCTTCTTTTTTTTGTTCTTTTTTTTTTTTTTTTTTTTCTTTTTTTGTTCTTATATAAATCCTTTAGACATATCGCTTGTAATTAATTGTGTGTAATATTTTTATTGATGTAATGTATATAATTAACAAAACACGTATATAATACACTTTTTTTTTTAACAAATATTTTATACAATTTTCAATTTTGCGAAAGAAAATACGAAAATAACAAAAGAGACATAAAAACCAAAAACTAGAACTAAAAATCCGCGAATACAAGAGAAAACACGACAAGGAAAAACACAAACAAAACTGCAAAACAACCAGCAAATGCTCGAAGAAAAAACATCGATTCCGACCCGCGAAGTTTGGAATGTTGTGATATTGCCGCAACTCGAAAGAGCTAGAGTCCAAGTGTATTATATACATTTTGTAAGAAAACTTCCATGACCACCAAATTTTTCATTCCGCCTCATGAAAAGGATCTGTTAAGAATAGTTATTGTTCATCAAACAGTTCTTTTTGTTCTACCAACAGAGTTTTGTCGACTTCTCGAGAGACCATCACACGATAGATAATTTTGTATGAACTATACCAAAATTCATAAGATTCTTAGAACTCGTTGTATCTTTTGCTCACTGTGAATAAGTAAATTCAAGAAACGATCAAATTGATGATACAAATGAAAGGTATTTAAAAGCAAACATAAAAAAAAAAAAGAATGAATGTGTTGTAAAATAAAAATAAATTTTATTTACAGAAGAGGGTACTTGGGATTAAAAGGGAACTAACAAAGAACAATTTTTCTGCAACATAGAAGAAACAAATTTAAACTAATCACCATTTTTTTTTGTTTCCTTCTTCTTCCTTGTAGCTGCATAACAATTCTAGCAATTTGATTAAAACCATCATCACTACAAAACATTCCAAAGTGGTTTAAAACCTATCCTTTTTCTTTCTTCTGCAGAAAATGTGGCTGACAATCGAAATCAATCAGCACGAGAGCCGCCGCTGCTGCTCGCAGAAGATCTCCGGCCGCTATATTTCTGCCCCACATCAAAATTTGAGATATATTAGTAACTCTAAACTCAAACCCTGTATTGTAGTATGAACGTTGACTTTGTAGAGAAGTGGGCAGGATTTTATAGACTCATAGAAGAGTAAATTAAGATGACTAGACATGGGGTTTGTTACTTATTGTACACCAGATAAAACTTAAAGATCAAAGTTGTAAAGAAAGATTACCTGTTTTCCGATGCTGAAAGGAATGTACTTGTGCTTGATCATGTGGGCGATTTGGCGTCTCATGGTGAGGACAAAGAGAACAACCCAGTAGCAAAGTAATATGGGCCAGAAGACGGGAACGTCAAAGACCGAGAAGAACGTCATGAGAAATGCTATGCAGAATGCCTTAGTCATGGAGTACCTGTCAGAGATTCAATCCAATTGTCACTCAAAAGAAAAGAAGCTACCGTGTTCTTATGTGTAGAGTTATGACAATGACCAAGTGTTTCTTCCTGGATGTATCATTCAGGAAGGTATTAGGACAACAAAACTGAGCAATTATACCAAAACTTTATATCATTCAATACCGATGAGCATATAAGTAACAGAAAACAAAATTGATTATGGCGCTGCTGCAACACAAGTATTACCAGCACACTTGGTTAAGAAGATGGTATATGGTGAACCACCTGAATGCTAATAGAATTTTAAATCTGACTGATCACAATATGCAATGACGATAATCCAACAACATTATTTAAAGCATAAGTTGTAAGGAGACAGGCAAAAGGGTACCAGAATTTGAACTCTGGAAGTCGACGGATAAATGGCTTGAACTCATCAGAACCTCGAGTAGGCAGAGTAGCTCCATCGGTGACTTCGAGCTCAGGGTCAACAAGAGGTGACAAGAACCCGATAAGCAGATTCAGGAGGTAGATTCCAAGACCATAAGAGATGATGTAGAATCCCTGAATAGAGTAAACCCTCAAACAGTAGATAAGAAAGACGACGAGTGTTCCGATCCACCTGTTAGTTGAATGAGGAGTAGTCTTGTCCAGATAATATTGGTAAACCCTCCATGCCTCATGTACCTTCTTTTGAACAGGTGTAGCCATCGAACCACTGTCACCACCACTTCCATCCATTGTGATTCTCGAAACCTAGAAATGAGCACGAAAATGAAGATCTACTCAGAACTCTAACCTATTAAGTACAGAACAAAGAACCCTAGCTTCGATTTCTCAACTTGTTAAGCAAAAAAACAATCAAGAGAACGCCATTAATCACATCTCTTAGCTAAACAATCTCACTAGTGAATCCCAAAACCCTAAACACAACAAACAGATAATGAAATTCTTCTCTCTCTCTTTCGGATTTCAACATATCGATAGATTCAGATCTGGAATCGGAACTAAATCGTTCCCAAAAAACCCCCAAATTCGTGAAAAGCAGCATTAAAACAACGAGGAGAGAATCAATCGGAGCAAGAAAAAATGGAAGATGAAGCATTAGAGAAGCTTCTGAAAAAGACTTACGGATGGTGAAGAAAGAAGGAATAGCTTCTTCAATACGACTGAGATCTCGACGACGCCAGCGAAAAAGATGCAGATCTGGCTAAGGCTAAGGACGACGACGACGCTCAATTTCACAAGACTCCGTTTTTTTTTTTTTTTTTTAAATTAATTAAATGAAATTTCCTTGTGGGTACTCTTATATAAATAAACTACGCATGAGCCACCAATTAAATGTTTGGTTCGATGTAACCCCACATTTTCTTTTAGTTTTCAATTTCACCCCTTACTATTCTTTTGTCACACTTCTAGCCCATAATCTCACATTTGATTAACTAAAAAACTCAATCAATCTACTTAACATTTTTTAAGTACATTTTTGCTCTTCCAATCGGGTCGGATTTTTTTCTGATTTTGACCCGGAAATCTTCAATCGGATCTTTTCTTAAATTTTGGCAAAATTCAAAGACGAAATCAATTAATAAAATCTAAAATATATATATATTTTCTCAACTAATTACTATATCTAAACTTTTTATTTATGGTATATATTTTTACGATTTTTATAGATAAGGAAATCAAATATGATGATTTAATGATAATATAACAAATTTGAGCTAATTTCTTAAAACCTCTATACCTAATTTAAACATAAATATATGATTCTAATTTCACTTATATTTGATTTTATATTTATATTATTTTGAATTATTATAAAATATATATAGTTAATAAATTTTAATTTTTTTTCTGCATATGTTATGATTCAAATTTTTGAAACAGACATATATTACTCAATCGATGAAGAAAAAAAGTATGTGTGTAATCTATATATACATTTTTGGAGTACATTTAGCAAATAAATTCTAGAGTTAAACAGTATTTACGAGGTCATGCCACTGGAATTAATTTTTTTTGTTTAAAAATATCAAATAAAAGATGAAAAGAATATTGCGCTCAACAAACAATATCGCCAAAAGTCTCTCAAAAAAGTCTCCGCAGTTTCTTTTTAGAATATAGATTCTGAAATATCTTATTTCAAATAATTACTTATCAAATTCATTATCAACACAAAATCGCACCAATATAATCATACCAACAAACTTAAAGAAAGAATTAAATTATAATAACAATTGTAATTGTAGCAGAATCTTCTAAATACCGATTTGATATATTAGATTCTGATTTAGTTTAGATTGAAAATACAGTAAAACCTCTATAAATTAATAATGTTGGGACTATGATATTTTATTAATTTATATTGATATTACTTTATTTATTAATTTATATTTATTAATTTATAGAAAGTTTTATTCAATTGTGAAAACTTTTTGAAAAAAAATACGAGCTAAAACAATGTGATCTAAATAAAATTAATGTATGAATGTTATAAATTTTATAGTTTTAGACTTAAACACTTAATATTTCAAAAAGAAAATAATTTTTTTTCATAATGAATAACAACGATTATAGAATTCACATATACAAACGATATACATAAATTAAAATTCACAAATAGTGACATCCATTATTGTATTTTAAAATCTTATACGACTACTAAAACAAAAATTATGCATATTCAAAATTTGAAAACTTACAAAAATTTTTGGCTATTTTTATGAAAAACACTAAAAGTATTATATATATATATATATATATATATATATATGAAAATTTACATGATTATTAATTTATGATATTATTGGGACTATATTTTCACATAGGGATTTCAAAAAAATAAATTATCTTATTATCTTATCGAATTTGGTTAATTTTTACACTGGCCCAACTCGGGACCGACAAAATTTATTAATTTATCGTGTTTATTAATTTATTGAGTATTAATTTATAGTCTGTATTTTAAAAATGCAATATAATCGTTTATATCTATATATAAACTTCAAATTATTTACATTTCACTATTTTTTAAAAATATAGTCCCGCGGTGTAACACGGGTCAATCCCTATATATATATATATATATATATATATATATATATAATTCCGATGATGCTATCTAATACATTGTAATTATACACTTAATAATATATAAATATATATGTACATTTTTAAAATACTAAATAATAGGTTATATATATAAATAATCTATTAAATAAATTAGATTTTGATTTTCTTAAAAAAATTATAGCTCCGCGGTGTACCGCGGGTTAAAATCTAGTATCATCATTATTTTGTTGGATTTACCAATTTATAATTTGTGTCAACATCTTTTGTTATTCACTCAATGATTTTATAAATTACTAGTTTATTATGATGATATTTTAGTATTTTAAATTTTAACAAAAGTTTGATTATTATTTGAAGTATGTAGTTTGAATGTGGATGGTCGTGACACAAAGACAGGAGATAAATTGCTTATTTTTTTGAATAATACAAAGAGAAGGAGAGATCGGCTGATCAGTCTTCCGTCGCCGGAGCACTGATCAAGACTTCACTGTGTTCTTATTTGTTCTCTAAATCTCTATCTCTAGTTATATCTTATAGTTTAACTAAACTTGAGCTCTTCTAATTGTACAATGATGGAAGCTTTCTCTTTTTAATCTCCAGCAAGATTGTTGCTCGGTGGACTTACAAGATTGCAGCTTTCAAGCTCCATTCATATTACAGTACCGTCTTGAATTGTCGCCTTTTCGACTATCACAGTGATTCCAGATCGAATGTAGAATCCTTCCTCTGGCCTATCCGCTTCTTGTACATCCTGAAAACATGGAGACATAAAGGTCTTTAAGATTTGATCTTTCTTCAACAGTTTGAAAATCTGAGGGAGAAGAAATTCGCGAAAAGCTTACGCCTTTGTTCATGATGATCACGTTTTTACCGATCTTGGCATTCTTGTCAATGATGCATTTCCTATAAACTCACCAGGAAGAAAAAACACTCTTGTTGTTTCAGATAAATCCATTTGAAGAGGGCTTTGTTTGTATGGTATGTGTTTCCTCAAAACTTACCTGATCTTTGTGTCTTTACCAATGCCAATTGGTACCTTTCCTTCTGCTAATAGAGATGCAATCTCCGATTCAGTTTGGTAGTAATCTGCACCTAACATCAATGTATCCTTTGGAAAGAAAGAAAACCAAGCTCAGTTTGATCGCAACCAAGTTAAAACAATTTCGATTGTTTTAGATCAAAGTGAAGAGATTGAAGATTCACCTGAAGCTCAACTCCATAGTCTAGACGTGACCGTTCACCAATGATGGAACGTTGGACGCTGCATTCTCGCAGGAAACATCCGTGTGAGATTATCGAATCTACCATCTACAAAATCATCAAAACAGAGCCATACTAAATAATTAGCAACTGGAATCAAAGAAACAACCATAAAGAAAAAGATGTTTTGACACATACGCGACATTTCTCAGCTTTGGTTGGTGGGAGGAACCGAGGAGAAGTGTAGAACGGAGTGTCTGGATCATAGAATTCAAACTTTGGTCGCTGGAGAACAAGATCAAGAACAAAAAAGTTGAGAAAAATGTATCCAAGAACGTCATAATAAGGTGAAAGACTGGAGTAATGTTTCTACCTCCTCAACAAGAGCTAAATTAGCCTCATAGAATGTCTTTATAGTTCCAATATCCTCCCAGTAATCTCGGAATATGTATCCCTGACAAAAAACAATACAAAACTGTTAGATCATTCGTTGTGTTCAACGGATAAAGAAAAACAAGACGCGAGTTTTCTAAAATCTTACTTGAACATCGTGATCTCTTATGGCTGCAGGAATAACTTCAGATCCAAAGTCATTGGAACTCGGATACTGTCTTGTTAGAAGGTTCAGCAAAGCTTCGGTTTTGAAACAATAAACTCCCATAGATGCAATGTATGGAGAATCTGTTGCTTCTTGATGAGACAGTCCAAGCATTGTTGTGTCTGTTTGCTGTAAAAACCAAAGAGAAAAGTTTCAAGTTTTTGAAATGCTTTATGACTTTAAGAAGTTGATTTGTTTTAAGAATCATAGAAAACTATACCATTGATTTCAGATCGACTCCCGTTGGTTTCTCGGAGAAATGGATTACACGCCCACCTCTATCAATCTTCACTAGACCAAAATTCGATGCACGGCTAAAGAATTCACAAAAAAAACTGGTTTCAAGAACGGAGATTTCTCATAGAAAAGACGTAACGAGATTCAAGATACTAACCTTTCACTGACTGGTGCACACGAAAGAGTAATATCCGCATTACTATCGACATGAGACTATTACAACACATCGAGTTAGTGCAACTTTAAAGAGGTTTAAGATGATGATGAACAGATCTGTTTAGATTTACCTGAACAAAGTCCATGTAGTTCATTCTATAGAGATGATCTCCAGACAAAATAAGTATGTTCTCAATGTTCCTGTTCTTGGCATCCTATTTTTTAAGACATCAACAGATTTTAGACCACTTCAATGATCACAAAGGAACTGACTTCAATAAACCAGTAAAAGTGATCATAAGTTCATACCTCAAATACCCAGAGGAATTTTCTGACAGCATCTGCTGTTCCTTGAAACCACATTTTCCCAGCTTCCCCTGGTGTTTGTGTTGCAGCAAGAACCTATTCAATAAGATTTTACTTTTGCTTTGTTCCTCGAAAATTCAAGAAAGCTGAATGTTTAAACTGTCATAGTGTTTATACCTCTACGAAACCACCTCCGAAGTTTATACCATTCCCAAAATAAGTGCGTGCTAAATGTCGGTTGAGGGAAGCAGAGTTGAATTGTGTCAGCACAAAGATCTTGTTGATGCAGCTGTTAATGCAGTTACTCATCGGAATATCGATCAGCCTGTAGCATCCACCAACAGGAACCTAACATATTTGAAGACACAAGAATCCTCATTACACAAAAACATTGTTTTACAAATAAGACCCTTGAGGTCCTAATCTCCATGAATGTTATTTACAGTTTTGGTTTTTCGGAAAGAGAAAAAGAAGAAAGATGAATACTTACAGCTGGTGTTGCGGCTCTCATTGTAAGAGGGAAGAGTTTAGCTCCATTACCTCCTCCTAGAATGATTGCAGCCACGTTTTGCGGGTCTGCCTTTCTT